CCAGGGTGACCCAGCCTGTCATGCCAAACTCTAAATGACTATGGGTTTCTAAATATGGTTTTCATCACAACATATTTCTTAGTGGGTTTTATGTACGTGTTGTACAAACCCGATGGCGATGAAGGGAGCCTTTCCACCACTTGCTTTTGATATCCATCTATTTTGGTTATGAGCAGATATTCAGCATCTTGCTCAATCTCGGTTTCTATATGGAAACCGTTTGCACGGATATCTTTAAAGCTTAAGAGAGTACGCTTTGAATTAGGATACAATAGAGCATCCTTTATAAAGATATGGGAACCCATAGGGAGAACTAGAGTAGCACTTCCGGTGCCTACTATATGAGCATTGCTTCCGGCAATGGTCATAATATTTCCAGTTTTCTTAGTTAAGGTGTGAAAATATCTAGTTTCCCTTAAGATTGTATTAGTGGTGGCACTGTCTACTAGACATATATTCTCTTCACCCAAGTCTGTTTATAGAACATAAACATAAATGAAATTAAACATGGAGTAAGTTGATTCTATTAAGGGAAACATTACAATGACTTCAGGCCCAGTAAAAGACTAAGCGTGCTCTTCAGGAGCATTATTCATGACCAAAGTTCTACATGTGCTACTCATGCGGAACACTGCATATGACTGACATATAGGAGATTACTTCAGGTCTCCAAATATGTCATCATCTTTTTCAAGAAGGTTGTCCCAATCATCGTCCATACGGACGTCCCCACCATCCTTAACAATGATAAGCATGTCATCATGCTTTTCAATCTGAGCTTCAGGCTCAATGGTGAAGTGGGACTCATGTTGGCTCTTTTTCTCATTCATGCTTTTTTGGTAGAGCTCAACCAGGTGCTTGGGGACACGGTAGTTACGGGACCAATGCCCTCTGCCTCCACATCTATCGCAGTTATCCTGCTTTACCCCAAATGATTCACCTGTAACCTTCTTGAGTTCGCCTTTTCCTCTGGGTTTACCCTTACTCTTGCCCTTGAATATGATACTTCCCTTACCTTTCCCTTTCTTCTCACCATGGCCTCTTTTACGGCCACGCGAGTTTCCAACAACATTGGCGTGTGCTTCAGGCACTGCCATAGACCCAGTGGGTCGAGCAGAATGATTCTTTAGAAGAACCTCATTCTGCCTTTCTGCAACTAACAGGACTGAGATAAGATCAAAGTACTTCGGGTACTTTGAGTTCCTGTATTGTTGTTGCAGCACTATGTTGTTGGGATGAAAGGTAGATAAGGTTTTCTCGATCATCTCAGTGTCAGTGATCTTCAGGCCACATAAACGCAACTGAGAAATGATCCTATGTAGAGCAGAGTTATATGCCGCCACAGACTTGTAGTCTTGGAAGCGTAGGGTGATCCAGTCATGTTGTTCCTGTGGGAGCACAATTGACCCTTGCTGGTCAAAGCGATCCTTCAGGGATTGCCACAATACCAGTGGATCTTTCTCAAACATATACTCAGACTTCAGGTCTGGGTGGAGATGGTGGCGCAAAAAATGCAATGCCTTTGCTTTCTCGGCCTTCGTAGACTCCACAGTGCCAACTTCGGGCAGCACAATAGTATGATCGAGACCCATGGAGTCGAGTTTAATCTCAACATCCAATGCCCAAGTGAGGTAGTTACTATCATCCAAGGCAAGCTCGGCGAATTCCTTCTTTGCTATGTCTGACATGTTCTGCAACATCATTTGGTATTTACAACAGGTAAATACGATGTGCAGGGTCGACATGAATTGGTCATGCGTAATCTTCAGGATTACTAGTGTGTGTAATCTTCAGGATTATCACACAGTTTCCCATATAATCTTTCCTAGCAAATTAACTTAAGTAATCTTCAGGATTACAGATTGCTTGATTAAATATTATCAATCATGCTAGGAAATCAATTTCATAACAATAAAATAAATGTTATGAAAGTCATGCAAACAGCAAAGTAAGCATGTAAAACAAAACGAAGAGCATACATGGGCACAACTTCATGTGTATTGTGCAGTCTGTAAAAAGTAAGATAAACCATGTAGTACTTCCCCACTATGAGCCCACGCTTCATGGCGGCAGACTTAGTGGCATCAAGGGCCCATATGGGTGATGTCCATAAAACAAAGGACATCCATAACGACACTTCAGGGTCGTGCAGAAGGTTCGTTTGCCTCCGATATTTGGCGGCAACGGCGGCAGAGCCGTTCATTAAGTTGCTATGCTGGTGCTTCAGGCACCTACATCACCTCTAGCATTTGGGCGATAACGGCGGCAGAGCCGCTATTGCGTTATCGAATAGTGCTAATGGGATGTACCATCTCAAGCCTTTGGACGGTAATGGCGGCAGAGCCGCCATCATGTTACCGGGCGTTGCTGAGAGGATGTATCAACTCTAGCAATTGAACGATAACGGCGGCAGAGCCGCCATCATATTATCGTGTATTGCTGAGAGGATATCAGAGGATGGTACTTCAGGTACCATGTTCTTCTGCTTATTTCAACTATAGCAGAAGAATGATTTGCATATCAAGAGCAAGATGATCAGTAGAAATTGATTTCTTACCTGTTTACCTTTTTAGCTCGGTAGAGTCTCGTGCTGATAACGTATTGAGAAACCAATCTATTCTATTGATCAGCACACAAGTAAACAAACACAGAGCTGTGAAACACAGAAAGTATGAGCGAGTGGAAGCTTTATTTCTTCTGGATTTGAGTACAAGCTACAAGAGGAGAAGCAGGAGACCGGAGATCGGTTGTTCTCGCCTTGGACCTTCTGGGCCCTATTTATAGGCGGAGGAGGGTGGAGGCTTACGTCGTAAGCCTTAGACCTTCTGGATTACATCGTAAGCTGGCTTCTCCTGTAAGCTGGCTTGCGCCGTAAGCTGGCTTCTGGCGTAAGCTTTCTTCTGTAGCAAGCTTCCCACTCATAATTTAATTCGTCTATAATAAGATAGGTTTCTTAACAGGTTTAATTATTATAAACTTTAAAAATGGACTAATATGATATTTTAGAATAACTTTCATATAGAAAGTTTTCGCATAAAACGCATCATTTAGCAGTTTGAAAATCGTGCAACGATAATCTAAAATTTTATCTCCGTTGGTAGGAGAAACGAACAGGCATCCCCTTCCCTTCGCGTAAAAGAAAATCTACAGTCTCTCGTCGTCTCCTCCCGCCCTCCGCCCCCTTGCGCGGCTGAACAGGGGCGGGGCGCCGATCTCCATCTGGCGAGCAGAGCAGGGAAGGCGAGGGGATCCTGGTGAGCATCCACATCCTCTTTCCGATTCATCTCTCTCTCCCAGCGGGACTACTTTTGTCTGGAATTTGCTTGCGTTCGTTAACCCTAGCTTCTCTTCTAGATCTGGAAGAATATCTTCTCTTAATTTCAGAGCCTTAATCTTAATACAAGTAACAGTTTGTTTGTTCCCCCAAAAGTTTGGGGGTTCAACTGAACCCCCATGTCCCAAAGTTGGATCCGCACATGGTGTTTTGGTTCTGATTCCAGAACGAAACTTGATGCCATGGGAAGAGGGGAAGAGTAGGGGGAGAGGGAAAACGAACATAGAACTCGTATGCAACCCAAGTGTTAACATTTGCTTGCTTACATAAATGTTGTTTTCTATTTGATTTTGGGCAGCTTGATAGTAGTCGCAACATGTAGAAGTAGCCGGAGATCCATCACAAAAATATAGAGCATAACACTTGTCTATGAACAAAAAAAGAAAAATGCATCATGAAACAAAGCATTCTTCTTCCTGAACAATAGGATAATAGGTGATACATTTATTCTGCTCCCTTTAATACCTTGCGGAAGAGGATGGACCTACTAGGTGAATAAAACTATTAGAGTATTTTGTTTCTAGATCTCTCAGGTTACTCTTATTACAAAAAAAAAAACCCAAATATTTTTTTTCTAGTTCTCTCAGGTTGCTATTATTACAAATAACTTTTTCCAATACATTTAGTAATCACGTAATGTATTAAGCATAAGCCCACCAATCATATTAGGAATGTAAACATAGACTAATGGTGTCTTATCAGAAAAAGGTTGTGCCATTGGAGATCAATAGTTATTACTCGCTTGAAGCCTAGAAGCTTCTCACCTAAATTGCTGCAAGCAGTCCCTATATAGGAATTCCTTGCAAATAATTCATCAGTTTATAGACTTATCCAAATAACAATGAAACAAGCAATATTTTTTTGAGGAAATTGCTGGCAGCACTGTTTATATAGAAATTTCTGTAAAATAATTGCTCCTGAGCTTGTGTTTGTCATAAATGTTAGTTGTTACTGTAGATGTTTCTTTCCTTAAAAGTTTCCCTAAACATTCTTGCTTGTTTACAGGAATTCCTATATGAACACTGTTGCCAGCAATTTGCTTTTTAAATATTCTTGCTTGTTTCATTGTGACATTGTTATTTGGACCTGTCTATAAATGAATGTAATTATTTTACAGGAATTCCTATATAGGGACTGCCTGTGGCAATTTAAGTCACTACAACAAAACATGTGTTTAGAGACATCTTATTTATAGTCTAGAGACGTTTTGAACCCGTCTTTAGGCATACATAGAGTCGCTTCTTCAAAGCGTCCCAGAAGCGTCTCCGTTAGGACCGTCTCAAAATTATAAAGACGCTCCATATAGCATCTCTACAAGATCTGAGACATGAAATAGCGTCCCTACGTTAGTTGAGACGCTTTTGTAAATGGGATCCAATAACGTGTCTCATGGTGCGTCCTTATGAGTAACTGAGACGTGTACATACGATTCATTGTAGGATGCCATGCTTGGCATATTTACAGCATTCACATCTGAGCAGTATATATCGCCATCAACATATATACCAAAATGACAGTAAACAGTAAAACACTCCAATAGATGAAAGGTAATTATATTAAGGACAATTGTGATTCACAAGTCAGCTAAACAGCCATACAGAAAAAAGAGATTTGCGTCATCTCTTAGAAAAATAAATTTATAACTGTTCCTAAGATAATTCTTGCTTTATCTCCTCCCTTCTTCACAGCATGATAAAATATATCTATAACTGTTCTTAAGATAATTCTTGCTTTATCTCCTCCTCCTTCACAGCATGATGTAGCAATCCTTTACAATCTTCAGTATCTTCTAAAATGAATTGTGTAAACCAAATCAGTGTACATGATAAGATTTCTAAAAAATGTAAGAAAGCTAGCTAAGTTTACTAGGCCATAAACAGAGAATTAGACAATCCATACATGTATTGATTCATAGAAGATACACCCATCACATATTTCATATTTGTCAGGAGCTTATTCCTAGCATTCTTTACTAGCTTCAGTAAAGATTTATTGAAATCGACCCTTAATAAAGTAAAACAAAATAAAGCACTTCAATTTGTATATTTCTGAACAAAGAGACTATAGCCATACTACAGTATTAACATGAGAATATTCTCCTACAGATATCCAACAATTTACCTTAATAGCTACTTGTTCTATACTTTTTATGTGGCTAGAATTTCTCATCATCACTATAAGTAACAGGTAAAAACTTATGATGGCCATACCTTTGACACTTTAGCAGTTGCTCTCCCTCCTGCATGTAAATACTTTGGAAACTTCAGCATATAGAAAGCAAATCTCCCATTTTGGACCAGCATCTCTATTCCTTTACTCATATGCCACCGAAGGACAGTATGAAGAACCATCGCATCATTCAGAACTAGTGTCCGAGATCCAAGTTAAACAAGCATTAATACCAATATTTGTTTCAAAGTGAATCGATTAGAAGATTGAGTTGAGTCAAAGTAATGCCTCTCTGTGTTTTAATGTGATTTTGTTGCTAAAACTACTTAATTAATGCTGAACTAAAGCAGGGGAAAGAACACAGCGTTATGCAATCCAATACTCCAAATAATTTTTTTGCAAGCGATACCAAATTACCAAGTGATTATCTTTCTGAACAAAGTATACAACAATCCCAAAGTATCATCATCAGAATTTTTTCCTAAAAATCTGCAAAAAAAAAAGTTACCTTCAACAATACTCATCTGTATTTTTGTGCCTTCTTGAAGCTAAAATTCCAAATGTAGTCATCAGATGGAATGGAATCAGTAGCAAAAAAGAATTTATAATGAGCCCTTAATGATCGACATATTGGTATTGATTGATCCACAGAGGTTCACAAATCATCAAATTGATTATCAGATCTGCATCATGCAAGTATTGGTATTAGCATTTTGTCAAACAACTAGTACGATGGTTCATTCCTGAAGCAGAAAGAACGAAAGGTACAGATCAATATTTACTCTTTTATACTTCTGCAGGATTACGAAATAATCCGATGGGGTAGAACTCAACATAAAGTCTGGACAAATTGAATCACACAAACAAATCAAAGCACCTTTGTAGTTCCTTAAGCCTTACAGATTAGGGGATGAGAGAGCATACCTACCAAGCTACCACCGTGGAGTTGTTGCTGGGCTGGTGAAGGCAACTGAGGGAGGGACGCGTTGGCGATGGGGAGTCGCTGATTAGGCGGCAAACTGCCAGCGGTGGCTCCCATGGCGAGGATCAGAGCAGGCAGTGGTGGGCGGCGGCCTGAGGAGGAGGAGGCAGATGTGGCATTGACTCGCCGAGGATGAGGCGCCGCTGGCCCCCGGTCGAGGACGAGCCGGCGGCAGGCATCGAGATGGCGACTGGTGGAAGATAGGCGGCGGCACCAAGCAGGCAGTTCGATCTAGATGGGAGTTTGTTGCAGCACGCAGAGAGGATGAGGACGTGGGTGGTTTCCAGGAGAAAAAAAAATTCAATCCAAATCTTAATTTTTGAGAAATCAATGTAAAACTAGGGCGTTATTTAAAACGTCTCATAAACCGTCTTTATTGGTGGGGTAGCCTAGAAAATAGAGACGATTTAAGTCTCGTCTCCAGCCAAAGGTCTTCATTTGTTTGTTTTGTTGTAGTGAGTGAGAAGCTTTCTGGCTCTTAGTGAGTAATAACTACTGATCTCCAATGGCACAACCTTCTTCTGAGAAGACGCCGTCAGTCTATCTTTACATCCCTAATATCATTGGTGAGTTTCTGTACGATTTCTTGTTTATTACAGTACGCTATTACCAAATGTACTGTAAAAAGTTATTTTGTAATATTAACAACCCGAGAGAACTAGAAACATAATATTTGGGAATAACATATTAGAACACATATGATTGAATAGAAGCAATGGCCATTTTTTTTTCTTACTAATTGTTATTGGCATCTTGTTTTCATGCAGGATATTTTAGGATCATCATAAACTTCATTGCTTTTGCTGTATGTTATTCCAACAGGGTGCTCTTTGCTATCTTATACTTCTTCAGGCGAGTGTTTTAACTTTATCCACACACTACTTGCCTTGTGCAATTTGTATATCTATGAATTTAACATCATCAAGATCTATCAGCTTTTTCTGCGATGGATTGGATGGTTGGTTTGCATGAAAGTTTAACCAAGGTAATAGAAGCATTTCTTATGTGTTCAAAGTCTTCATGTAGTTTGTCATTCTGCAGAGAATATTATTTCTAATTTTTTCCCTTGTGCCTTGAGACTTTATAGCACTAGATATTTTATGAAGAGTAAATTATATGAACTTCTAAAAAACTATTGTCTGCTCAACAGTTAAATCTTGGTTTATCTTTACTCATTATCTGATCAGTTAATGTTATTCTATGTATCAGCATCAACATTTGGAGCTGTGCTGGACATGGTAACAGATAGGTACTCCTCGAATAAATCATTGAACTCTGTATATGCAAGGTGAATACATTCTGCAGCCTGAAATAATTTCACTGTTCAAATTGCTCCTCCTCAGGGTTAGCACTGCCTGTTTATTGGCACTTCTCTCCCAACTTTACAGGTATAAATGAAAGCAGAAAATACTTCAATTGTTGTACCTTCGATCTAGATACCTGATGCAAACTGTATTTGCAAGTTTCTTTGCAGACCTGGCTTAGTTTTTTTGATGCTGCTTGGGTTGGATATTACAAGCCATTGGTTTCAAATGTATAGGTTAGTTTTCTATACCAGTTTTTCAGTTAGTGCCACTTTGTAGTTTTCTTCACCTCGTAGGTGCATCCTCTTCTGTAAGGTATTAAATGGAGTAGAAATGCAGAATAAATGTATCACTTATTGTCTTATTGTTCAGGAAGACAAAATGCTTTTTTTCATGATGCATTTTTTTCCCATAGACAAGACAAAGTGTTATGCTCTATAGATTTATGATGAATCTCTAGTTACTGCTACATGTTGCTAACTACTTGGTGGTGTTTTTTTACTAGTATGTTCCTATCAGGTAAAACTAGCCACAAGGATGTGAAGGACACTGGCAATTGGCTTCTAAAATTATATTATGGACATCGACCATTCATGGCATTCTGTTGTGTTGCTTCCGAGGTACATGATTAATCTATATTTGGCAGTATCTACATGGATGTTTGGCTGCTTACATGCTGGACTATGTGCAACATGAGTGCTATGCTGGATGATTTTTTTACTAGTTCAGCTGAAGTATGGGCATGAATTGAATAGGATGTGTTGATGTGCCCAAAAAACTGAATGGCCCAACGAGCCTATCTTACATCTGCACATATAGCACCAAATAGTCATTTGATATAGTTGAGGAGTCACCATCTCTGTATGTCTAGCACCCTTATACACTCTTGACTAAACTGCACTTAAATGTTTCACCTTCTAACATAGGAAGTTTATAAAATTACAGGTTCTGTACATAATTCTTTTTCTGTTTGCTGATGAGAAATCGACAAGCTTGCTTAATGTAAGAAGACGATCATCTCTACTGTTGCTTAATACAATCAAGTCTTGTTGCAGTAGTTAACATCTGGTATTTCTATATGCAACAGGTGTGCAGATGCTTTCTAAAGGGAAGTCCTCTCACTTTCTTCGTTTTTATTTCAACTCTAGTTGGTTGGGCATTAAAACAAGTGATCAATATCATCCAGGTATCCAGAAACCAACATTAAAATTTCTTGCAGTTGCAGGTGCTTGATATTTGTACATCTGCAAGTATTTAAGTTCTAATTATGACACTAATAATAGGTTTGTTATAAAGCTGAAGAAAAAGTGTTGATGCACTGGTTAGCTCATATGCTTTACATTAGGGTTTAGCTAGCCCTGGTTAATAGGAGATACATTATGCCCAAATTATAGGTTCACATATGTTGCTAAAAGCCTAGAGCAGGTGCTTATTGTAACATTCTATTCTTTATTTAGAGTGTCTATTTATATGATTCTAGCAGTACTAATAGCGACACATTAATAAGAAGTGTGGATCGAGATGTCGACTACCACTAGAGTTGGGCACTTGTAGGATCGAGATGTCGACTAGAGGGGAGGGGGGGGGGAGGGGTGAATAGGCAATTTAAAACTAAATGACACCTAATATAAAACTAAGGGTGTGTTTGGTTCCCGGTCAAGGTTGGATGGGATATGGCGGTCCAGTTTTTTGTTTGGTGGAGTGAATATGGCGATCCAGTTTTTTGTTTGGTTGTAGGGATGAAAGTTGATATGGTGATCCATTTTTTTGTTTGGTTGGGGGAGTGGGATGGATGAGTGGTTGCAATCACCCTTTCATTAGAGGTGGTGAGTCTACCCCTCCAAATTCTCACCCAAAAATTATCAATCTACTAAAAAAAATCTAAATAGAAATAAAAAAGCAGAAAGAAATAAAAGGGGAAGGAGAAAAACAAAAAAAAGAAAAAAAATGCCATCTCGAAATCGTCGGCCGCCGCTCGCCTTCTCGAAATCGCCGGCCGCCGTTCGCCTTCTCGAAATCGCCGGTCGCCGCCGCCTCGTACCCTCTCTCCTCGGCCGCCGCCACTCGCCCTCTCTCCTTGGACGCCGCCGCTCGCCCTCTCTCGCCGGCGCCCCCCAGATCCGGTTGTCGCCGGCTCGCCTCATCTCTCGCCGCCGAGCTCGCCTCCTCTCTTGCCGCCGAGCTCGCCTCCTCTCTCGTCGCCGGCTCGCCCTAGCCGCCGCCGACCTCGCCTCCTCTCTCGTCGCCGGCTCGCCCTAGCCGCCGCTGCCGAGCTCGCCTCCACGGTCGTCGCCTTGCCTGGTTGCCGAGCTCGCCTCGTGGTGAGAGGGGTGACGCGACCCACATGTCGCTCGTCCCTGCTCGCCCGAGCGCTCGGGCGGCTGCATCCGGCCGAATCGGCCGGATCCCCCCATCCGGCATCTGGGGGGAATATCCTCCCCGTGCCGCCCCATCCCACCCCTGCCCAGGAACCAAACACCCACAAAAAATGGGCCGCCATGTCCAATCCACCCATATCCCTCCATCCAAACACACCCTAACCTAAGTTGCTAGGCTCGGTGAGGGTCAAGTCTAACTAAGCAACTAAACCTAGGGTGATAGTGGCTCAAGTATGTCTATAGGAAAGCAAATCACACTCCTAAGTCAAGTTTAGCAATCCTAGGGTAATATGAGCTCATGTCTCTAGGAATGTAAATTGCACAAATGTAAATGCGATAAATAAAAGAGACAATGAGACAAGGAATTTTTTACCGAGGTTCAGAAACTCACCGGTTTCCTACTCCCCGTTGAGGCGAGCCCAACTCCACCCCTCAACCACGAAGCCACTGCACGCCCCCTTCGTCAAGGGGTGGGCAAGGCGGGAACCGGCCCACGGAGAGGACTACTCAAGCCTCGATCACTCGGGTTAGTTCTTCCTTCACTCCGAAGGTGGTGAACTCCAAACCACTCACAACCGGCGTCGGGCCTTCTCCACAATCTTCTCGGAGAGGTCACAGGGCAACTCCTTCACAAGCCGTCTAGGAGACTGCAACCTCCAAGAGTAATAAGCGATGACCCGGCTTGGAGATGATCAAGCGCCGCACTAGCTCTACAAATGGAAGCAATGCACTTGACTCTTGGCTAAATCAACCCTCAAACACACTAGATGGATGAACACAAAGCTCAAGTGGGTGTGTGAGAGATGGAAGGGGTGTATGCAATTGAAGTGGGTGCCAAGAGAGTCCCCTTGCTGCTGGTGGGGGAGTATTTATACTCCCACCCACCAAAACTAGCTGTTGGGGGCGAAATCCCCCAATTTTGTGTACTGCCGGTCTGACCGGAGGTGTGTGGCCGGTCAGACCGTTCTACTCTACAACGGCTAGTTTTCTAGCCGGCCTGACATTGGGCTCCAACTGCCTGGCCGGTCAGACCGACATAGGGTGGCCGATCAGACCGGCCTCGGCTCGGTCAGACCGCCCCCAGCTCGGTCTGACCGAATACAGCTCCGGTGGCTCTAGATCGGCCACTC